ATTTTTATTAAAGTTCGACATTTTAAATAAACAAACAAATAAATAAATAAATAAATCGTTTTCTAATACAAAATTTCGAACAATCAATTCATTCATTCATTCATAAATCTTTTTACCCAACTAATAATATAATAATAATTATCTTTATTATTATTGAAATAATTATTATAATAATTATTATTATAATCATTATCATCATCATTATTATTATTATTATTATTATTATTATTATTATTATTATTATTATTATTATTATTATTATTATTATTATTATTATTATTTATTATTTTTCTTTTTTCATGTACGTACGATCTGCAGCTGAAGTACAAAAGGCGTGTCTACAAGATGCTACATCTCGATGAGAAGCAGCTAAAGGCAATGCACACGCGTACCAATCTACGAAGGTTGTTAGACTACGTAGCTAATAGTCAAGTTGAAAAGATAGCCAAGATGTGCAGTAAGGGCCTGGATCCGAATTTTCATTGTCAGGAGACTGGAGGTAATTTGAAAAGATCTTAGAAACGAAATTTAAAAAGGAAAGAGAAAAAAATAAAAGAATAACATAATTAAATAAAAAAGGAAGGAAACTACAGCGCCAATGACGGCAATACGAATAACAGCAATAACACAAATCACAAATGATGACGATGATAATAATAAAAAAAAAAAAAAACGCGTCGTAATTTTTTGCCGCGAAAGGACGAGACGCAAATGAGAGGAAAAAAAATATTTTTTTAGAAAAGAAAAGATCCCCTCTCCGTCACCACATCTATACGATATCCCTTTCTTTTTTCTTTTTTTTTTACAGAGACACCATTGACATTAGCGACGAGTTTAAAAAAACCATCGAAAGTGATCATAGCATTGGTAAATGGTGGTGCCCTTTTAGATTATCGTACGAAGGAAGGTTTAACGGCTATGCACCGTGCCGTCGAAAGAAATAGTTTAGAGGCCGTTAAAACGTTATTGGAGTTAGGCGCAAGTCCCAATTACAAGGACACCAAGGGCTTGACGCCACTTTATTACAGCGTTATCAACAAAACTGATCCGATGCTTTGCGAGACTTTATTGCATGATCATGCTACCATTGGGGCACAGGATTTACAAGGGTGGCAAGAAGTTCATCAGGTTTATCATCTTTTCTTATATACATATGTATAATTATTTTATTTTTACCCTTTAACTGTTCTAAACTGAAGCGCTTTGCGTGAGCGGCAAGGGACAATTAGTAAACAATGAAATTTTTCGTCGGGGGGGCGCATATATGCGCCCACGGGCCACGCCCATAGCCTTCGATCGGCGCATATATGCGCCCGTGCCTGTCAAAGGATCAAAAAAAATTTTTTTTCTAATCCATTTCGAATCTATCGTACCTGCGGAATGTATCTAATCGATTTTTTTTTCTTTTTTCTTTCTACTTTTTTTCTTCTTCTTCTTCTTCTTCTTCTTCTTCTTCTTTCTTTTTCGTTTTTCTATCTCTTTCTCCCTTCCTTCTTCTTTTTCTACTTTTCTAGGCTTGCCGAAATAATCTGGTACAACATCTCGACCATTTACTATTTTATGGTGCCGACATGAACGCACGTAATGCGTCCGGTAACACCCCGTTACATGTCTGCGCTGTTAACAACAATGATTCCTCGTGCATACGTCAGTTATTGTTCAGGGGGGCGCAAAAGGATAGCCTGAATTATGCGAATCAGACACCTTATCAGGTTGCCGTTATCGCCGGTAACATGGAACTAGCCGAGGTCATCAAGAATTATCAACTCGAAGAAGTTGGTGAGTTTTATTTATCCTTTTCTTTTTCCTTTTTTCTTTTTTCTTTTTTCCTTTTTTTTTTTTTTTATTCTCTTTTCCTTTTTTTCCTTTCTTCTTTTTTCATTCATATTGACATCATTTGTATTTTTGTAGTAGGTCTCTTGTTTTTTCTCTTCTTCTTTTTTTTTTCTTTTTTTCTTCTCTTTGATTCTTTCTTTTTCTTTCTTTGTCTAATCTTTGAAAATGTTTCGGAAGATTTTAAATGCGAATTGCAACATTTTGTTAATATCTTTCTTTTTCTCTCCCTCTCTCTCTCTCTCTCTCTCTCTCTCTCTCTCTCTCTCTCTCTCTCTCTCTCTCTCTCTCTCTCTCTCTCTCTCTCTCTTTTCTCTCTTTCTATTAAAAATTTTGATTTATTTATATATATAAATATATAAATTAGTTTATTAAAATATTACGAAATTTTTGATAAACAATTTTTGTTAATAAATAATTAATTAATCTTGTAATGAATATTTAAAAAAATTTTTTTCTTTTTCTTTTTTCTTTTTTTTTTTTTCTTTAAATAAATTTTATTTTACGAGCAAGAAAATTTTTTTGTAATAAATTTACAAAAAATAAAAATATTATTATTATTATTCCCATAGTGAGAGAGAGAGAGAGAGAGAGAGAGAGAGAGAGACAAAAAGAGGGGTATAATGAGGAATGGGGGATGGAGATAACGATTGCACTTGATAATATTTGATAAATAATTTCATAAAAACGTTTAAAAAAATTTTTTATCTATAAAAAAAAATTCGATTATTTTAATTTTCTAAAAATGAGAAAGAAGAAAGAGGGGATGGGGGATCAATATTTAATACATACATACGTATATATATATATATATATATATATATATATATGTATGTATGTATGTATATGTGTTTATTGAGTTGCATGAATTTTGATTAGGCTTAGCATGTGAATGTTGCATGAAATGCTTACTGGTCCAACCCTTAAAACCCTTAAAACCCTTAAACAAGGGATACATGGGTCCTATATCTATAAAAAGCTAATAATAGTAGCCAGTAGATGATATTGTTAATTTGTATCGTAGAAAATTTTTAAATATGAATAAACATACACATTTATATATATGTACATATATATATATATTTGTTTATTTATATTGAGTCGTAATGTAACGAAAATGGAAATTAATTAATTAATTAATTAATTTGGAAGTAATAAAAAATGTATATGATGAGATACATACATATATACATTTATATACATATATATATATATATATATATATATATATATATGTATATATATCTCATTAGTATATATTTGGTGGTGATGGTCGTGTAAAATCGTCGAGTGGTGTATTTTTGTTATGTAAGTTAAACATAAACACAGTATATATACACACATACATGTAAAACACATATAGATATACATACCTACATATATACGCATACACACACACATATACACACACACTCATATACATATATACAGACAGAAATATGTGAACAAAATTTATGACAATTGTTTTGCTTTGTGAAGTATTTTATATATATATATATATATATACATTGTTAAAAGTATTTCTAAATTATTATTATTATTACAAACAAATTAATTAAAAAAATTAAAAACAAAAAAAGAAATTAAATAAGTCTCTCTGAAATTAAATAAGTATTGCCATCAAAATTGACATTTTTAATTTTATCAATTGAAATATTTTCTAATGAAAATCTTTTTATTTCCCAATTTTTATTTATTTATATATTATTATATGATTATTATTATTTTTTTTTTTTATATATACATATATAATTTTTATAGAAAAAATTTTTGATAAAAAATTTTCTAAGAATATCATCTGGCAACACTGTAACATTAATATACATATATACAAATATATATATTATATATATATATATATATATTTAGTAAATACATACACATATATAACAAATATATATTATATATATATATATATTTGGTAATGTCTCAGAGTAGTTTGAAGTACTTCGTAAATCTGTGGTATCCATGTCACGAATTATCAGGGACATATAAAAAAGAAAAAAAAAAATAGAAAAAGAAAAAAGAAAAAAAAAAATGGAAAAGGAGAATGAAAAATTTATTAAATTCGATTGATCCGTCTTGACGCGTCAAATCGAGAAAAAGAAATAAACGTCATAACGAACGATTGGATCTTCTACGGAATTAAAGAGAAAGAGAAACAAAAATAGAAAAAAGAAACGTAAACCAAAAAAAAAAAGATGGCGGATGATCTTCCTGCGTATGCTTTTTCTATTGCTTACGTGCTCTTCCCTACTACTACTACTACAACTACTACTACTACTACTACTACTACTACTACTACTACTACTAACGACGAGCAAGTCTTTAACACACCTACACACTGAAGAATTTCGAGAGATACCAATGAAGGAATGTGTGTATGTGTGTGTATATATATATAATATATAAATATATATACGTATACACACACACACATATATATATATATATATATATATATATATATATATATATACATGAATGTATAAATAAAAAAAAAAAAAATAAAATAAAAAACCAACCCCCTTGGCCAGCACGCAGCATCGAGCTTACTTCGCACGTTTTTCTCCAAAATAAAAATAAAAAACAAAAATAAAAATAAAAATAAAAATAAAAAAGAAAGTCAAACAAAAAATCACCTCAGCGCAATCTCAGAAAGTTGGATATACTTGAAACGGACCTAATATATAAATAATAATAATAATAATAATAATAATAATAATAATTGGGGTGACCACAATTGACTAACTTTGTAAGGAATAAATAAACACAAATAAAATACGATAAACTTTTACCTATCAACGAATCGATTTTCCAGTACCATTTAAAGGGCCACCTCGGTACAACCCAAAACGAAGATCAATGGCATTCGGTGGAACATCAATGATGTCAACGAGCTGTTCAGCTAGCAATTTGGGGACCCTAACTAGGATACCATCAACGGAACAACATGCCGCTGGTGGATCTAATACTGGTAGCTTAACACGTACGATATCAGTGGAACAATATTCGAGTACTGGTAACAATTTAACAAGAGTACCATCGGCTGATCAATACGTAACAACAACAACAACAACAACAACAACAACGGCTAGTCTAAACAGAGTATCATCTGCGGATCAACAATATGTTAAGGGTGGTGGTATAACCTCAGTTGAGCAATA